CAAATGTTTGGTAGTCTGTGTATGCCCTGAATTAGAGCCGTCACATTTGTCCTGATTTTTTCATTGATCATGTTTATATTTCTGGGATTCACATTTAGGTCTTTAATCCATGCTGAGTTGGTTTTTGTATAAGGCGTTAGGTATACAATCTTTTGCATAATTCTCTTGTTTCATTCTTTTGCATATTGCTTTCCAGTTTTACCAGCACCATCTGTTGAAGAGATTATCACCTTCCCATGCGATACCTTTAGGCACTTTGTCAAAAATCAGTTGGCTGTATGTGGATGGGTTAATTTCTAGATTGTTGATTCTGTTCCATTGATCAACGTACTTTTCATTGTACCAGTACCAAGCTGTTTTGACCACTGTAGCCATGTAATAAATTTTGAAATCAGGGAGTGAGAGGTTTCCAACCTTATTCTTCTTCCTTAAGCAGTGTTTGCTTCTCCTGGATCTCTTTCCTTTCCATATAAAATTTGTCATTGTTTTTTCCATCCCTTTGAAGACTGTTGTAATTTGGATTGGGATTGCATTATATGTGTAAATTGCTTTGGGTAGTATTGACATTTTCACAATGTTAAGTCTTCCTATCCAGGAGCATGGTACATTCTTCCATTTTTGTAGGTCTCTTTTGGTTTCTTGTAGTAGTGTTTTATAGTTTTCTTTGTATAAGTCCTTTGTTTCTCTGGTTCTGTCTATTCCTCAATATTTCTTCCTTTGGGCAGAAAGCTATTATTTCTTGATATGTCCTCCATCTAGGTCTATACTTCCTGAAAATATTTCCATCTGTCTGGTTACTTTTCATTGTACCAGTACCAAGCTGTTTTGACCACAGTAGCCATGTAATAAATTTTGAAATCAGGGAGTGAGAGGTTTCCAACCTTATTCTTCTTCCTTAAGCAGTGAATTTTCCAGTGAATTTTGTGCTCTTCAATTTACACCACATCAAACAGAAGTTTTAGCATGCTACTTGGTCTCTAATCATGTTTTAAAAAATGTTCTTTGAATTTGGGGAACAAAAGTCATCTGAAGGGACAAGATCATGACTGTAGGATGGATGGGGTAAGGCTTCTCAGCTAATTCTTATAGGACAGCTCTTGCTACTCTCGAAGTATGAGCAATGTATTGTTATGATAAAAAAAATCCTCTGTGAAATTTTCTCAGCAATGCAGTTTTTAAAAAACTTCCTCCTAATAACAACCTCATGATTGTCCTTGTCCTTTGAGACAATCTATCAAGATTATACGGAACTACAAAAGTCAATTGCTATAACCTTCTGAACTGACCTCTCTGCCTTGTTAATATTTGAGGTCTTCTTAACATTCCTTAAAATGCATAAACCATTGGAAAACTGATGTTTTATGTGGGCACCATTCCTGTAAACTTGTTGCAAAGTTTCAGTCATTTGGGACAATGTCCACTTGAGATTTGTTAAAAATTTTGTATTAGCCTTACCATCAAAAATATCTTTTTTTCATGACATACAAAGTAACCTTGATTTTGAAGGCACCTTAATGAGAGTAAGACAAGGTTATTACTGAGGGAACTTGTCTGCAATCATCCACTGATCACAGAGATATGTTTAAGCATGTTTTGTTTTGAATAAACTCATGCATATAACCTGAAAGCAAAGATGACTTAAAATACTTATTAATGATGATTAAGGGTCATAGCCTTCCATCGGGGTTGTGCTTCAATGTAAAGAAAACAAAAATCCTTGCCACAGTAGCAATAAATGACATCATGATAAATGGAGAAAAGATTGACGTTGTCAAGGATTACATTTTACTTGGATCTACCATCAACACTCATGGAAGCAGTAGTTAAGAAATCAAATCATATATTTCCCTAGGCATATCTGCTGCACAAGAACACTTTAACGTGTTCCAGAGCAAAGATGTTAGTTTAAGGACTAAGGTACAACTGATTCAAGCCGTGCTATTTCAGTAGCCTCCACTGTGGGTTAATGCTTTGGACTGCAAAGTCGTTTTGAACCACAAGATCAGTGGTTCAAGCTCATCAGCCACTCAAAAACCCCATACAGAGTTGCTATTTGTTGGAACTGACTTGACAGCACTTAAAAACAACAATAAGAACAACAACATATGCATGTGATAGTTAGACATTGGATGAGGAAGACCATAGAAGAATTGATGCATTTGAACTATGGTGTTGGAGGAGAATATTGAAAGTACCATAGACTTCCAGATGAATAAACTCAATCCATGTTGGAAGAAATATAGCCTAAATGCTTCTCGGAAGCCAGGATGGCCAGACTTCATCTGTTCATACTCTGAACAATCCTGGAGAAGGATATCATGTTTGGCAAAGTGGAGGGTCAGAGAAAAAGAGGAAGATCCTCAATGAGATGAATTGGCACAGTAGCAGCAGCAGTGGGCTCAAATGTAGCAATGATTGTGAGGTTGGCACAGGACTGGGCAGCGTTTTTTTCTGTTGTACATAGGGACATCATGAGTTGGTACTGACTCAATGGCACCTAATAGATAATATATTAAATATATATGCATATATACATACATGTGATGGTGAGTCAAAAATTATCTGCATACTGGTTATATTACAATGCTCATCCACATCTATGGCTGATGACAGCATTGAGCGTGTACTTGAAATGATTATGTCAAATAATCAAGTGACAGTGAACTATATGGCAAATTGTTTGCAAATCAGCCATGCCTGTGAAGTAATACACAACAGACTTGTGATACGGGTGCTGAAACAATTCATGGAAGAGCATAAACAGAAGCTTTTGGACATCTGCAAACAACATTTGGATCCATACTTGAAGGAAGGTAAATGTTTCTTTTAAAAAATCATTACTAATGGTGAGACATGGATTCCTCACTAGGAGGAATGGAGCAATGGAATGGAAACAGCCTCAATCGCAGACCAGGAAACAGTTCAAAAAGCAACCATCAGATTTAAAATTGATGCTTATGGTTTTCTGGGATTTTCAAGGGCCAGTATTGGAACATTATCAAGAAAAATTTTCAACAATCAACAATGCTCATAATAGTGAGATGTTCATTGAAGAACTGAAGCCTGAACTTGGGATTGAATGCAGAGGAAGGCTATCCAAAGGCATTGTGATCTTGCATGACAATGCATGTCCTCATACCTCTGCCCACATTGTTGACACTATGACAAAAACTTCATTTTGAGGTGTTAAAGCCTCCTTCCTATAATTCTGATGACGTTCACCTATTTGGTCCCCTGAAAGCAGCAATATGAGGATGAAGATTTACCTCTGATGAAGAAGTGTAGACAGCAATGCATTTGTGGCTTGTAGCTCAGCCTAAAACATTTTTAAATAAGGGAATTTTTGAAAGCTTGTTGACAGATGGACAAAGTGTATTGAAAAGCAAGGAGATTATGTCAAAAAATGATGGATTTGTCTTTTCTAAAAGTTGATGAAAATAAATTCTACAGCTAGAGTGTGGATAATTTTTGACTCACCATCATGTATGTATTTGTGTGTATATACACACATGTATGTAATAACATAAACAAACAATACATGCACAGAAAATCAGAATACATTTTTCAAAAAGGTTTTTAAATACAAAGAATTATATTAAATAAGGAGTCCTGGTGTGGCACTGTAGGATAAGCACTGAGCTGCTAACCCCATAATCAGGGTTCAAACCCATGAGTTGCTCCTTGGAAACTCTATATGGAGTTGCTATGAGTTGGAACTGACACTATGGCACACAACAACAACAAACATACTAAATAAGATGTTAGCCTTAGCGGGCTGTGTGCTGACGACCAGGGGGCAGGCTTGTAGGGTATATACCCTTTGGTTGGTTAGTGATGCATGGAGGGGATTGTAACCATGGCAATGAAATGATATATGATAGGATGAATGTAAAACTAATGTTCTCCCATGGAAACTATCACATAATTCACAATAAAACATTAAAAAACAAACAAACATGTTAGCCTATGGGGAGCAGGGTAATGACAGTGGGATATAAAGAAAAGGGAAATAATAAATGAATCAATAAACTATGAACAAGAGGGAAGGAAAACTTTGATGAATCTATAGAGAATGGATTCAAATCTTAGGTATGGTAGTGGCTCTGTGCTGTGGAGTTGGTTTTGACTCAGAGTGACTCTGTATAGTGTTTCTGAGGCTGTAAATCTTTATGGGAGCAGAAAGTCTCATCTTTCTCCCACAGAACAGCTGGTAGTTTCGAACTGCTGATCTTGAGGTTAGCAACCCATTTCGTAACCACTACACTACCAGAGCTCCTTAATCTAAGGTATAGTGGGCATCATAATTTACTTATTTGAGCCTTAATTCCCATCTCCCTAAAATAGAGTTAAGTTCTTTTGAGTCAGTTCTGACTCATAGTGACCTTGTATAGGGTTTCTGAGGAGTGAGTTTGAACCTCTTACCTTGTGGCTAGCAGTCCAGTATGTATGCTACAGCACCACACCAGGACTCCAAAATAGCATAGTACACACACACGCATGCACGTGCGTGCAGCCAAATGGATTCCAATTCATAGTCACTTTATATAGGTTTTCTGAGATTAATTCTTTACATGTGCAGACAGCCTCATTTTACCTGTTTTATATGCTTACCATAAGAATTAAAACAATCCTTGAAAAATGCCTTTTAGAGTGTGTTAATGCGTGGGTTAATGCGCCAGACTGCAAAGCCATTTGAACTGCAAGGTCGGTGGTTCAAACTTACCAGCTGCTCCTTGGAAACCCTATATAGGGTCGCTATGGGTCAGAATTGACTCGACGGCACACAACAACAACTACATAGAACATTCTCAATAAATGTTAGATACTTCATTTCCCCTTTAATTAGTAGTCAACATTATAGCTATTTTAAGAGTCTAGGAAGGGAAGATATTTGCTTTATTAAAAGTATATACTGGGTTCTATTACTGTGCAGCAGGGACACAGAAATTGTTCTTCCTTACCATCTGTTCTTAATTCTTATTTTCCTTCTCTCAATACAGGGCTTACCACCAAAAACTTGGAAGGCAGAAGTTACCCATCTAAGTTGCCCAGAACCTACAATGTTTACTTTCTCACCTCTGGGTCCACACTGGAGCACTTTGCGAGAGATGTGGATACCAAGCTTCCAGCAATCCAAGAAAGAAGCCCAAGCACTACGGTGGCTGGTCGATAGAAATCAAAACTTTTCAGCTCAAGAGTTTTGGGCCCTTGTGTTCAAGACCTAATTTCATACAGTATCAGAATGATATAGACTAAAACCTTTGTGAAGCTTATTTTCTAGGTTGCCTTAATACTTGAATATAATAGTTATTCTTTTAACTGTCCTTTAGGGTAAGAATGAATTCATTGCTGCAGTATTCATAATAAGCCCTATCAGGTAGTAGAAATGAATAACCCTTAGGGATCACCTTTTTATTTTTTATACTAAAGTAAATATTTCTGATGGACATTGGTGACCTTAAATTTTCCTATCTGAAATTGTGTACGTGCTGCCTTTTGTGGAAATTCTTCAGACTTAGTGCTTTCCTGGCTGCATGGGAGGCAGAGGTTCTGCTATGGATATGTGATTCTCAACCCCTATCAGCAATCTATTGGTACTTGGCAAGCCACATGTCCTGATGCTGAGCATGAACGTGAAATGCATTAGAACTTGAAAATGAGAGATTCCATCTGTTGGTTTCCAGGGATATTAAGTGAATAATCAAAGAAAGCTGTGTAAAGTTTATCCACTATCTGCTCTTCAAGTCAAAAGAGCATATTCCTGTCTCTACCTTCTCCTTTCTCTCTCTGCCTTCTCTCTAGCCTTTTGCTATATATAACTTTGCTTGTGCCTCCCCCTTCTAAAAGAAAAAAGAAAGAAGAAAAAAAAAGCAGAATATCTTGTAAAGACATGAGTCTTCCTTGTATATTTTGATCTGTGAAATCCCTTACACTTCTGAAGAGAAAAAATAAACTATTTTATGATACAGGCAAGACAGCCTGTACATTTTGAATAATGTGAGAGTGGAATTGAGTGTCTCTAGGAACTCCCATTTTGTTGAAATTGATTTGTCTATTTTAGGATGGTGGACAACCCCCAGTGAGAGGCAACCACAGGCATTCAGTTTGTGAGCATTCTCTGTCCATTTCTAATCCTGCCCCAGATAAGACTCAGCTGTGGTGTCTGGAGCATCTACTATGAGCTCCTTGGAAGACAAGGAGAAACAATATTGGCTCACATTTCTTTTCAAAATGAGTGTGGGTGTGGGGAGGCTTCTAGATGTTACTGAAGCTTGTTGCCACCCAGATGTGACATGGCTTCGGTATTCTTTTCTATTTTACTTTTTATTTTGGATTAGTAAATATAACACAGAATTTGACATCTTGGTCATTTTTGAGTTATAATTCAGCAGCATCAATTACAGTCACAATGTTGTACATCCATCACCACTGTTTATTTCCCAAACTTTGTTATCCCCCAATCAGAATGACTTCAGAATTCTTTATTGTGGAAAGGCATAAGCTCTCAAATTCCCTAGAGGATTGGAAGAGTCTATTAAGAAGAAGAGTGTGGCTTGGCATCAGGGAGTAAACGTGGGAGAGCTCCCATGGCACCAGCTCCCATGTTACCACTGCCAGTCGCCTGTATGTGCCTGACAGTGAATGGTCCTCATCCTTTCCTATGTAGCTCTCCCTTTGGCCATGCTACCCAGTATGTGAATGATGAGGAACTAAGAAAAGGACATTTCTTTAGAAAGGAGAGTCACTCCTTCGGTGGGAGCAGGCATTTATGATGAGATTCTTTCCACTCCTTGCTCTGCCACTAACTTAAAATGATTCTAAAGAAATTGTTTAACCTCCTTGGACCTGTTTTTTCATGCCTATAAAGAAGAGATTAGCTGGGTCTTGAAGTTATTTGCTGTATAACATTCTTTCATTTGTTTGTTAAATTTTAAGTAGCGTAACTTTGTAGATGTTTTAACTAAGAACATAAGTATTTTAGAGTAACTGTGTGTTATTCAAAGGAGCCCTGGTGGTACAGTCGCTAAACTCGGCTGCTAACCAAAAGGTCAACGATTCAAACCCACCAGCCTCACCACAGGAGAAAGATGTAGCAGTCAGCTTCTGTGAAGAATTACAACCTTGGAAACCTTATGAGGCAGCTCTATTCTGTCTTATAGGGTTGCTCCGAGTTCAAATTATACTCAAAAGCAAAGTGTTTTTTGTTTGCTTGTTTTCTGTGGATTATTCAAAGGCAGCACTCTTGCCTGTGGAAGAAGGAGTCTAATTATTATGTGGTATTGGAGGTGGAGGGGAAATCATTTTTTTCTCTACCATTTTATCTGATGCTATCAAAGGAGAAAGAGTTGGAGAAAGGGATTGTTAAAGGCCAGACTTAAAAGTTATTATATGAAGTTTTTGTGTTTCTTGTACCCTTAAAAGGAAGGAGTTCTATTATGGATAAACACTGGACTGTACTACAAGGAGGTTCAAACCCACCATCTGCTTCTCAGAAACCCTATATAGGTTACTATGAGTTGAAACCAACATGACAGCACTTAACAACTTAAAAGAAAGCCCCAGAGATTATTTATTATTATGGCCAAATATTATCATGCTGGCTTCAATTTTCCTCCATCAATGCCTTAAACAAATCACTGTTTATATGCTTCATATTTACCTTAAACCTCAACATGTCAGACCATCTTTGTTCTTCGTCAAGAGTGTATAGATAAAATCCTCCCTAAACTTTTCTGAAGTATGTAACCATGACTTATTTTGTTGTTGTTGTTGTTGTTGTTGTTGTTGTTGTTGTTAAGTGCCGTGGAGTCGGTTCCGACTCATAGCAACCCAGCACAGGGTTTCCGAGGCTGTAAATCTTTACGGGAGCAGAACGCCTCGTCTTTCTCCTGCGGAACCACTGGTAGTTTCCAACTGCTGACCTTGAGGTTCACAGCCCGATTCGTAACCACTACGCTACCAGACTTATTTTAGTGAAATAAAAATCAATGATCATTTATTGTGGTATAAAATTTTGATGAGGGATGGAGAAGATAGAATTTCAAGGTATTAAAAATATATTGTATTTCAAAGAGAATAAATTGGAGATTCTTTGGGATTCTTAAATATTAAATTTGAGGCTTTTAAGTAGTTTTTAATATTAAAAAATATTATTTTGCTTAGCACTGTTTTTTCTCTGTAATTAAAGAATTTCAAACATACGGTGATGCTCTGTGTTTCTGACAGTTGCTATCATGTGGTGGGACATAAGTCCCCATTGTAGCACTGCAACATGATTGTTGTTGTTGTTGTTAAGTGCCATCGAGTTGGTTCTGACCCATAGCAACCCTGTATAGAGTTTCCAAGGAGCAACTGGTGAGGTTGAACTGCCGACGTTCCAGTTCAAACGGCTTTGCACTCTGGCGCATTAACTCACAGCGCCACATTATTACCTGCAAAATGGGAGCTCATGCCCCTTGTTACATGTATCTGTGTGCTAATCCCATCATGCCACACCTTTCTCTTTACCTCACTGTCTCCTTTGTCAACTGAGAGTAAACAAGCAACCTACCTCACAAGATTGCTGTGAGGAATAATGGGAGGACTTTGTACAGCACAGCATTCTGTTTAGTACTTCAGTGCAACACTTTACTTTGATATTTTCAAGGGCTTATGGTTAAAGTGATATGACAAGGTGGATGAAAACATTTTCCAGAAATATTGGGGAAAATGATTACTAACATTACTTAGTAGTCTTAAGTGTGAATATGTAGACTTTGACTTCTTGTCATGTAAAATAGGTATTTCAGAAGCTGACACTGCCTGGTTTATTTGTTATTGTTAAGGATTAGATTCTAGTAACTGGAATTATCAGTTGAGTTCATTATTATTAGTAGTGATAGTAGCATATGACATTCTGTGCACTACTCAGAAATGAAAGACATAAGCAAAAATGAACATCATTCCTTCAGAGTCAACTCTTTATATCTCACAAATAGGCGAAAAGACTCAGTATGTATAGAACTTGTGTGCTTGAGTTGCGAATTGAACTAGATGTTTGTTTTTGTTTTGATAAAACAGCACTGTAACTTGAAAAAAAATGTCTGGCAAACAGATTATTCAGACTTGGCTTTTTATTAATCAATTTCTTTAGAAATGAACAAAGTGAGACTGTCACTTTAAAAGAATTTTAAATAGAATTTTTTTGCCAGTGACTATAATTCAACTTTTCAAGTGAAAAGTAGAATTTTGGAAAACTAATATCCAGCATTTTCAGCTTGTCAACTTTCCAATAGTGAAAGACTTTTCCCGATGAGATAGGTGATGATATTAACAAAAGTTGCTTTTGAATTATAAATGGAATAGAGATGATGAGGTGTGACAGTGTTTTAAGTTTATTAGTTTTTAAAAATAATTCAGAAGAAGAAAGAATAATGTTACATACTGGAGATACATTTTAAAAATGTAAAGTATATATATATAATTTTTAATTAAAAATTTTATTGATGAATTCTATAAGTGAAATTCCATAAGGGAGGTTTAAACATTATTATTTGAAAATCAACAAAAGATAAAAGGCAAAAAGAGCTAGTGATGAGGGAAAGGAAGCCTTAGATTTTTAATTGAGAAATAGAAAAACTACTAAGGAAGACTTAAAAAAAAAAAATCAAGGAAATTATCATTATTTTGGATTCCTCAGTGCCAGGAATTATTCTGGGGTATGGGATAGAGTAGTAATGGAATTGATAAGACCCTTGCCTCCATAGAGTTTATATGCTAGTGGTGTTGTTAGATTCTGTCAAGTTGGTTCTGTTGCACAGCAACCCTATGTACAACTAGTCCTGCATCATTGTCACAATTGGTGCTATGTTTGAGTTTATTGTTGCACTCACTCTGTATCTTAGACTGGGTTCTCTAGGGATGCAAAACTAGTGATATATATAAAGAGAAGATAGAGCTCACGATTGTAGATATAGGAGAGTCCCAAGTGTAGGCAGGGTGAACCAAAATTGGCAGGAAGCTCCGCAAGGCAGGAATCCCAAGTTGGGGCACAGAGAAGGACCTCCGCACTGGATCAAGTGGTGGCAGCAGGGTGACGGTCAACCAAGGCCGCCTAGTTAAGTGTGCTGCAGAACCGGAAGCACGAAGCACATGAACCAGGGTGACTGGAATAGGCTTGCAGGACCCTGACGTGGTCATCCACTTTTCCAGGCACACTCAGTGGGCAGGCCCATCAGGTAAACAT